GACTAGACCTCACTAAAAATGAGGTCAACAAGGGGACACGTGCGCGTCTCGAGGGAAGAGTAAGAAGTAAAGCCGAACACGAGCGAGCCCAGACCCAACCCGTATTCGGCTTGTTGATATTTCAAGCTCAAAAGGTGTGTTCGTGTTCGGCTCATCTGCTTTACGGGCCCAACTTTCACGAGCCGTTCACGAACAAATAGTTATTTTGACAACCCTAATCGCGTAGTCATAAGATGTTAAAGATTGTGACAAGATTTAAAATATCATTTGAATCTAATTTAATAATTTTTATTCTATGTTCTTCATTAATTCTTTTAATTGATTATAAATCTTTGTAGCCTTGTAGTCAATTAATATTTTAAAAAATACTACTCATAAAATGAATATATATATAATTGATTAGCAGTATTTCAAGCCAAAACTAGCCGAACACGAACGAACAAATATTTGTTTGTGTTGTTTGTATTTGTCTCTTTAACTTAGTGAACGAGCCGAACATGAGCTATTCGCGAACAACGAGCCGTTTTGACAGCCCTCCACCTTGGTCAACATCCAGTTCCTAAGAGAAAGGGGGGAGGCTTGCGTGCAGGAGCAGCAAAGATTCACTTAATTTGTAAAAATCAATGTTCTGGGTGGTCTGTATGTAAATATCCCATCTCTCTCTGTCTATATATATATATATATATACATACATACATATATGTGTCGAATTTGAGTGATTCCATTACTAATAAGAAGCACTTCAATAATAATTTTATAAATCTTAAGAGTTTTAGTAGCTCGCTCTTTCAATTATTTTCTTCCCCGTGCAAAAAGGAGAAAATACTGTGTTCGGACTCCAATAAAATTTTGTCATTTGCAATGTGTCGAGACATACTGCTTGATATTAAAAAAAGCAAAAACATAGACACTTGGTGCGTGACCCGGCCCAAACGAACCCATTGATTGCGAAAGAATATGAAACATTGCTCAAAATTCAACGCACTGTTCATAATCCGACACACTGTTTCATTTTCTTTTTTTGGCTAGGGATTTTTCTAGCGCTCCTCCGGCCAGGGGTCTTCTTATAGTTCCCCGACTAGGGTTTTGATGACACCGCTCTGTGATTTCTGAACAACACAACAAGAGAGCAAAATTGAAGATAAAATCTTAAAATAATGGTGAGAAAATTGAAATGGATGTGAGTTTAGCTGTCATTCAAATATTAACATTGCTTTATGTTTACTTGATGTCTTTTATATTTTGAATCAATTCGATTTTTTTATATGAATTTTTATTATTTAAACCATATGTAGTATATTTTATTGAATTTTTTATATGATTCATTTGTAAGGAAAAAAACAATATTTGCACGAAAATAACTCTATAATATCACCAAAATATAAACATAATACAATAGTAAGACCTCCATAATACCACTATAATATGACCAAAATAACCACACAATACCACCACAATACCATCCCCAGTACACCACATTATTGTGTTGGGTTTTTGGTGGTCATTTGATTTTATTATGTTAAAACTATGGTGGTATTGGTGTGTTTTTAAGGTGGCATTGTGAAGTTAATTTGATTATATTTTGGTGGTATTGTGATGGTGATATGGTTGTATTTTGGTTGTAAGTTAGTGTTATTGTAGTGGAGTTACTGTGGAATTGGGGAGGTTTTGAGGTGGTATTGTGCTCATATTTTGGTGATATTGTTGAGGAATTATGATTGTATTTTGATGGTATGCTGATAGTTTTGTGGTGGTATTGTGATGATTTTATAGTGACATTCTAGAGTTACTTTAATTATATTTTGGTGTTATTCTCGTGGTGATATGATGAGTTTTTGATAGCATTTTAATGTTATTGTGGTGGTATTGTGGTGGTATTGTGGCGATATTATGATGATATTATGATGATTTTGTGGTAATATTTTGAATATAGTGTGGTGGTTTTATGATGATATTGTGGTTGGTGTTTTTATGGTATTTTTGTGGTTTTATAGTGATATAGTGATTTACATATTTAATAATGTTTAAATCATTTTATACATGTGCAGTTTTGTGAGACAAGGAATGTTGGTATTGATCCAATTGTAGACAGATCGTTTGACACTATTGTACATAATGAAAATGAAGCATATAATTTATATTATGCTTATGTACATCATGTTGGATTTCCTGTTCAAAAGAACCATGATAGTTTTTGGCCAAATTCGAGGAATATAAAATCGAGGGACTTTTTATGTGGCAAAGCTGGTTTTAAAAAGGAGTTTAAGTTCAACAACATGGTGAAGTTCAAAAAAGCAGACACAAAGAGTGATTGTTCAACAATGATTTGATATGAGTCAATGTTGAAGCCAATTGGACAATTAAAAAATTTATAGCAAATCATAATCACTCCTTAGCGAAGTTTAGTGATAAGTATCTTCTGAAATCAAGCAGAAATACCAGTGAAATAAATAAAGATGTGCTCAGATCGATGATATAAGCAGAGATTATAGCTACGAGGAGTAGAGAAACATGCCTGTATGAAAATAAATGCATCCAATTTCATTCAAAAGTATAGAAGAAAAAGAATTGAAAATGGTAGCACTAACTCTCTATTACAATTGTTCGCAGAAAGACAAGCTGCAGATAATATGTTTGCCTGAGATTTTAAGATTGATGAGTTTGGTAGGTTGATGAGCTTTTTTTGGAGTAATAACATGTCAATGCTTGATTATGACTGCTTTGGGGATGTCATTATTTTTTATACAAGTTATAGACTGAATAAATATAACTTATGTTTTGCTCCTTTTGTTGACGTAAACCATCATTGACAAAATATTCTTTTTTGAGTAGATTTTTCGTCTGACGAGACAATTGAATAGTTCAATTAGTTATTAAAAATATTTCTTCGCACAATGGATGATAACAGACTCACATAGATTATTCTAGTGATATATATATAAGAAATTTCCTTCAAATGTTCATTGTTGAGATGGTAATAAGGCAGTAAACAATTTATTCTACAAATGCATAAGTAAGTGCAACTCCGAAGAGGAGTTTGAACAAACATGAACGGACATGATTAAAAAAGAAATCCATGCGACAATATTTGGTTGGATGATTTGTACAATATCAGATATAAATGATCAACAACCTTTAATAAAGTAATATTTAGAATGAAAACCTTATCAACACAAATAAGTGAGTTTAAAAATAATGTTTGCCATGGTATCTCTAAGCAAACAAGATCTATTACTGATTATTTTCTGAGACTTGAAAATGTCAGGAAAGTATAAAGACGAAATGAGAATAATGAGGATTTCAGATGTACTCAATCCGTAATTGCTCCTGTTGCTAAAAACAACCTTGTGTTGAGGCAATCAACTTCATTTTATTCAAGGAAGTTATATCCATTCTTTGAAGCAAAAGAGTCTTTACATGGGGAGTGTGGTCTTACTATAGACTTATCTTTTAATAGTTCTTGAGAATATTACATTAAAAAATTGGATAATAAGGGGATAGAAAAAACCTTGGATTCTTAAATTTGAGAAGATAGATTCTTAAATAAGCTGTAGTTACAAAAACTTTAAAATGATGAGGTTATTATGTGCTCATTGTATATGAGTTTTCAACATAGAAAATATAGGAAAGTTACCTAATAAATATCTTCTATTGCGATAGTTCGTTAATGCTAACAAGGATTTCTATTACGATTATGGATATAGATATTTTAATGGGTCACACGTGAAGAATGATTATTCAAGTGGTCTCATATTTTGCAGCCACATCTATAAATTTTCACATCAAATTAACACTAAAGCATAAGGAAATGAAGAAGCTAAATAATATATGTTGGAATCTTAAAAAAAATTATTCGACGATGTTGACAGCATATTGAGTGGGGAGATCACCTCAATTGAAGCAAAAGCCAAAAAAAAAAAAATCATTAATAGAGAAGGCAATGTGAAATTAAAGAACTTAGTAGAGACACGTCCAAAGTGTATATCTAATCTCAGATTATGTGAAATTAAAGAACTTAGCAGAGACACGTCCAAAGTGTATATCTAATCTCAGATTAAAAAGATATTGAGAGAAAAAAAAGAGAGCCAAAAATACATATTCTTATATATTAAATCAATTTTATTATATATGCTATTTAGTTTCTCTAATTAAATCTTTGTTTTGTAACTTAAGAAAGGAGAAAGAACCTTCATCAATCAAAGAACCAGTTGCTTTCAGTTTCTTTAACTAAATCCTTGTTTTGTAACATAAGAAAGAAGAATGAACCTTCATCACTCGAAGAACAAGTTGCTTCCCTATGGGCACTCGTTATTCCGTGTCTTAAGTTAAAATGTTATTAAATTAATAATAAAATTTTGTGAAATTAAATAATGGATTTAATTTGATGAGAAATTGAGTTTCCAAGTGAGGAGGGTTGACAACATTAATCATGTCAGCAATACCTATTTTAAATTGAGATTGATAATGTAAATAGTAAGTTTTACTACATGATATCAAATTTTAATAATTTCAAATTATTGAGTAGGAAGGTAGAAAGAGTTAGACATAAGAGAGGGAATTTGAGGTAAGTTTTAAGTATATATCTTTGAATTTAGAAAATACACAAATACCTAAAGTAATACGTATTTGTGAAATAGTTTAGGATTTTGAGTAGAGAACAATTATAGATTTGAAAAAATGACTAAAAATAATAATAAATTTAACATAATGTTATGTGCTATTTTTATGGACACAAATAGAGGAGGAAATTAAGGATTACGAGACTGTAATAATCATAAAAAAAGTTTAAATGAATAATTATTATTTTATATACATTTAATTTTTTTTCTTTTATTTAAAAGTATTTGTGTTTTCAAATAAATATTTCATTATTTCAAAAAAACTTGATAGCATCTCTATGATTAAAAAAAACTGAAAAATAAAATAATTATTTTATGATTTACATTGCATCACTTTTTATATTGCACAGAAATTAAGATAAATTGATTTAATGATTCAAAGAACTTCAATATAAATTCAATGAAAAATAAATGATTAAGTCTATTAGAAATCACCTCTTTATGATACTAGTTGGAGATGTAATTTTGTTCATGCATTTTAAAAGAAAAGAAAACAAAAATAGTTGTGTTTTTATATTACAAAATAAAAATGGTTTTGCTATTATAATATTAACTGAAGAAGGTTTCGATGATACTCGTGTGATGACTTCTCAAAGAAAAAGAAATTAAAAAAATATAAATGATTAAAAGAATAAAAATATAATTAAGATGATATAACAATAGCGTTTTTATAAAATAAAAAATATAAAGTTTATTATAGATTGATTAGTATATTATTTTGATAAATTATGTTAGGCATTTGCATAGAAAAATAATACATAATAAAATAATAATTATTCAATAAGCAATTTTTTATTTAATCCGTAATTTAACTGTTCTTTCAAGAAAAGCTCTGTTAGTCTGATATATAAGAGTGAATTTGTTTATAGAAAGAGAAATTGTTGGAAATAGTTAGTAGAATGTTGTGCTTTATGTTTGGTTTTATGTAATGTGAATTTTATCATATCACTTATTTTGTCGTATCAAATTGAAAGATTTTATGTATCTTGCTAGATGTTATTTATGTATTTTGGTTTAGTGACACTTTTACAGTTAAATCTTATCGTGAATAATTTTAGTCCTAGAGTTTATAAAAGTGTTAATTTGGTCCCCAAAGCGTCCATTGGTCCCCAAAATCTTTATATGAGTAGAAATAGTCTTTTGTATTTTGGTTTAGTAACACTTTTATAATTAAATCTTATTGTGAATAATTTTAGTCCCTGAGTTTATAAAAGTGTCCATTTGGTCCCCAAAGTGTCCATTTGCTCCCCAAACTCTTTAATATGAGTTGAGATAGACTTTTGTAGTCCCCACAAAGAACTATATCTATAGACTTAGAGACTAAAACGGCCCTATGTAAACAATTAGGGGAATATTTTAACAATTTACTCTATTACAACCTCATCATAGAACACAAAGGTTGATTCAACATAGAACGAAAAAAATATCTACATAAATAAATCATTATTCTTATAAAAAAAAGTCTCTATTATTTTTCGAGCTAAGGCCACCATTAGAAGTCTCCATTACTTTTTCTTTTTTTGAATCCAATCAAGGGAGACTTGCAATGAGAAAGAGAAGTGTATTTCACTCGAAGGTTGATTAATGGGAAATGTAAGGTTTTTAATTACTCATGTTCCTATTAAACAGGTTTTTTATGGTTATCAAGTAAGGACTATTGGAAAGGTTTTAGTTTGCTGCTAAAGCAATATCAAAAAGGTTTATTTCTCTCAACATTCAAATAAAAATTAATAATTGCAAAAAAAAATGTCTAGCAAATTATTGAAAGAAAAATACTTCATTGATCCTCAAAATAAACAAGTAGTTTAAGTCATAAATGTAATCAAACTACCTGATGTGTTAGAAAGTGCTCTGGATGATTGACAAGGAAGAAGTGCTCTACAAGCTCATAGGTTGACTCATCTGGGTCAGCTGGGACATTTCTTACAAGGACCTGCAACAAATAAAACAAAAGCTCAGGGAGATATTTGCAAATTTCTAAGTGCTCAGAATAACTACCTACCATGCCATCATTCATAAGTACCCTATGATTTTCTAAGAAAAAAAAATATATATACATATTTCACTGAAAAAATGTCTGCAAACAAGAAGATAAGATATTTGTTTTGTTTGTTTGGCAGCATGACAAAAAACTAGAAGGAAAATTTACAAACATACTATACAATTCTTGTGTATTTTCATTTCTAACGCCCAAAGTTTGACATTTACACTCATAACACCTTGGCGTCATAAAACTATGCATGAAAAGATGTGTTTCACTTTCTAAAACATACTGATTTTCAAGATTTGAGGGGTATGCATGTAAATATGAAAATCTAGTTGTTAGATATGTAAATACATAATAATTGTGCCGTATGTATGTAAATGCTCCAAGTTAGAAACAGGTAAAGAACTTCTTACTGTGAACTGATCTGGACGGCGTTTTTCTGATGCAAGAAAATGCAATCTCATCGATGCAATTATTGCATATTCTTTGAACAACACATAGCAAGTCCAAAAGGTAAACATATATGCCATCACCAAGTGTGCCCAAAATCTGCAATAGCATAAGAGTATATTTGTTAATTTTGTATTGTACAGCTTGAGTTAATCACAACTTTCTTCATAAATTATTGTATAGAAAGTTGTATTTGGAACTATAAGAAAAGCTCAAGTTGTGTGTTCTCTTAGCATAGCTAGCTCTACATGCATATAAAGGACTTTCTCACTTTGGGACAAAATACATGCATAACAGACCATGTTCCTTAGGATAGAGCTTCTATTATATGCATGATTTTGATTTATATATCTAATAATCTTAGTACACTTTGTTGTGACAATCCTAATCTAGACAAGATTGTAAGTCCAGTGGAATAGTTTTCGTTATGTATAATTACACTACCTTAGTTCTCTGCTTCCATAAATAATCCCTATAGTGCAGAAGATTTTAAGCTCTGCATTTTTATTTATGGGGCCAATTACTTACATACCACCCAAACTTGTTATTTACCAATCAACCACACTCTTTCATCTAATTTTCAAATTCTCACTCAAAGATCCAAATTCATGGTAAAACCCCAACCATATTTTCATTTTTATCAAATTCTCATTAGTTTAATCTTGGCATGCAAAAAGACATCGGTTCAATAGTTCAAAAAAATCACCTGGGTGCTTAATTTGTAAATATCAATTTTTTCGGTGTTTCTATATAATTATCCCTTTTATTTAAACATGATTACACAAATGTTCAATTTAAAAGATTGAAAAAATTTAGAGTTGTGGATAACTTTCTTCTCTTTTGTAACAAACTAGCTAAAGCATGGCATAAGAATTCTTTGCTTGATCTTGTTAGCTTAAGCAATTAGGGCAATTTATCTAACAGATGTTTATACAAGACACATATCAAGAGATTATTTACATGGGATCAGTTCCTCTCATTCATTTCTTTCTTCTCAATCATGGCCTCATTTGATTTGTTTTGCTGCATATCTATTACTATAAATCTTTCTAAATATTGGATAGAAGCAATTATAACCCAAGAAATAAGCTATAACTAGCTTTAAATCAAAATTTAATCATGATGTCCTATTTAATGAAGCAAAAGCATATGAGAAGTCTTAAAAAAAAAAAGGCATTCACATGGGCATTCACATGCATACCACTCAAGCATACCACTCAATTCTTACGTATTTACATATCTACCGCCCATACTTCGATTTTTACATTTATACTGCCCAACTCTTTCATATCACATCAAAAAATACCAATATTTTAACTTTTATAAAATGAAATGCATCTTTTCATGTATAGGGTTCGTTCATAGGTGTTGGTTTCCGTTGTTTAAGTTGATAAATCTTACAGTTATTTTGGTATTTGATATTTAATTCATGATTTTGTTCAACTACTAGAATCAGGGCATTCTACTTTCAAAATTTTGCAGTCAGTTGGCATGTATATAAAAATTGAAGTTTTGGTCTTAGATACATAAATACATATGAATTGAGAGATATGCATGTAAATCTTCCTTAAAAAGCAAAGTTTACACCATGTTTCATAACATTTCTCTCCAACACATTTCACAAGAGATATTAAGCAAAAATATGCTAAATAAATGTTATAATTAGATTTCTCACTTATTTGATCCTGTGGGAATATTGGAAATAGAAATCTTGTCTATAGCACTAAACTCCAAATCCGAAGCCTTTGTAGCCTCAACCTCCAGAGTATTATTTGTCCAGTTAACAGGAACCAATACAGCAAAGGCCAACAAGCAGATAGGAGCAAAGATTTTAAGCCTGTAACAAGATGGCCAAAGAAGACATTAGCTAAAAAAAAAAGAAAATTTTATATTAGAATGTCATATTATGGAAAATATTGCAAATTAAATTTAGCAATTGCAATTAAGGAAACATGTACATGAGCCAAAAATGCCTCATGGTTATTTATATAAATACTGAAAAGAGAGTCAGAAAATAAGAAAGCTGTAGCTGAAAGCTTTGAATGTAGAACCATTCAAAAGCCTCATTTTACATTTAGAACCACTCTTTCTCTTTCCTATGAATTTACATATCTAACACTCACACACTTCAATTTTTATGTGGAGGCCACCTTTCTTATCATGAAAAGGTATGTTTCACTGTTTAAAAGTTAAAATGGTAGTATTTTTATGTGATATGAAAGATTTGGGTCAGGTTTTACATACGTGCATTGCATCTTACCTACGCATGAAAATGTGCATTTTGCTTTTTTTAAAGTTAAAATGATGATTTTTTTGATGTGATATGAAAGATTTGGGCGTTATAAATTTAAAAATATAAATTTTAGGTGATAGATATGCAAATAAATATGAATTGGATGATATGTATGTGAATACCCCTAAAATTAAATGTTTCATCCAAATTCACATAAGAATGTAGTTTATCACACATTAAAGCGATTGACTGTCTGGGAAACAACATGATGAAATTGAATCAATCCAAATGTTTAAGGGGGCACTTTTTTCTTAAGAACACTCAAAATAAATATAAGTTATTTTGAGTGTTTTCAAAAATATGTTAATCTATTTTTAGAAACAAGAAGTAAGAACACGCAAAAAAACACTAACATGTTTTTAAAAATGAAAAAATAAAATTGATCACAAACAAGCCCTCTACGATGGTAAAAAAGATCACAAAAATGACATACCCCAATAGATATATTCGCAAATAAACAGCGGAATCTAATCCAGCATGATCAATCAGCTCCGGTTCCGGCATTTTGAGAGCAGGAATCCATTGAAGAAACGTCATGTATGATCTGAAGTCTAAATTTACAAACTTATGCACGAATGAGCCCGAGATCGTCGGACTAGTCCTTACTCCCTTAAGGTACCATTTTGGGAAATAAACCCTATCATTGAATGGTTGCAGACGCAATATAGCAAATGCTAGCAAGAAAGCAAAGGCACTAAGAATGTTTATAGTTGCAGCAAGACCAATGTCGCCAAGTGTAGCCATAGTTTTCTTTCCAAAAGAAGTTTCAAATCCAACCTTCTACCTGTAAATTTGAAATATTATGTGCATTAGCAGTAGGAGAAACATTAGAATCATGTTGCAACTTATCTCATCATGGGGCATTTTCATACATACCACATAATTCTTATGTATTTACATGTCTGACATCTATTTATTTTATATATAAATTCATCGTACTTAAATTTTTAATATCACATTAAAAATATCACTAGACTAACTTTTTAGAAGTCAAATGCACCTTTTAATCCATATGATGATAGCACCATAGTGTTAAAATGTAAATATGAAATTTTAGGTACTAGATATGTAAACTCATACAAATTTTGTGGTACATGTGCAAATTTTTCTAGGGGTATTTACATATATACCACATAACTCTTATGTGTTTACATGTCTAATATCTAATTTTTGTATATTCACACCCATAGTATTTAAATCTTTAACATTATATCAAAAATATCAGTTCATAATGCTAACTTTTCAGAAGTCAAATGCGCCTTTTTAAGCATAGGATGATAGCATCAAGGTGCTAAAAATATAAATATAAAATTTCAGATGCTAGATATGTAAATTCATAAAACTTTTGTGGTGTGTGTGCAGATTTTCCTACGGGCAAATTTACCTATAGGCATTTTGATACATACCACCTAAGCTTTAATATTTATTTACATTCATAATGCTTAAATTTTTAACATCACATTGAAAATGCCATCTCACTAACTTTTTAAATATCAAATGCACCTTTTTTATGCATGGGATAACAACAACAAAATGTTACAAATATAAAAATCAAATTTTAGATGTTAGATATGTAAATTCATCAGAATAGTGTGGAATGTATGCAACACATGCATTGTTTGACTGCACCCTGAATTTACGTTAAATAAGGCTTATCAAATATAGTAAATCTGATCATCAGTGCAATGAAGATGAACTTGCGAGTGAGGAAGAAATTCTTAAATCCGTCTCCCAATCAGACTTACTGAACCCAATTACATCTTAAAATAGACATGATGTAGGAAGAAAGTACAAAACGTGAAGATTTTTGATTTACTGAAACGCTCGATTTAATTTTCATTTTTTTAATGTTTAGTCGGACTTATGCTAAATTTATGACTAAATCTTCTTTAAATAACGCTACCAAACACCCTCATAGTAAGGAAAAAATTTTTGTGTCCGGATGTTCGCACATCCGGACAGCCAACCACCGACCGTCACGTCAACCGTCGATGAGGTGTATGACGACGTGGCGGCCGGTGGATGGTCATCCGGATGTGCGGTGTCGGCACGGAATATTTTTTCCATAGTAAGAGTGAAATGTCCCTAAAAATTACTGTTCCAGCAGCATAAAAATCATTCTTTAGTTTTCAAATGAAAAATCTAGAAGACGAAGTATAAAGACCAAACGAACTAAACCCTAATCCGCTTTCTCAAACCCTAAAAACCAACCTTCAGGGAAGACAAAAATAAGAATCAAAACCCTAACATTTCTCACAATCGAACCAAAACTGCTACAGAAAACAGCAAGAATCAGTAAGAACGCATAAGACAAATTTCTGCAAACCTTTCATACATAAGAGAAAAGAGGAAGAAGAGGCTTCAAGCAATGGGCGAGCAACAGCGAGAGAAACGAAGGAAGAATCGTTGTGGAGTGAGGTAGAGGAAGACGAATAAATGCTTAAATCTTTCCTCTGAACTTTTGCTTCTTACAGAAGAAAGAATGTCGGAGCTTTCTCAAATGGTGATGTCGCAGAAACAGAGGAAGAAGACGAGTTAGTTTGTCTTGATTTGGGATTAATTAGCAGAGTTAGTGATTATTTAAAGTAGAATTGACCCGTTAAAATTTAAAATTTTAATGCTGGAGAAATGAGCCGGCCGGAGCCTGCTGAGGGAGGAGGAAAGAGCCGTTGGAGTTGGGGAAAGCAGGTGGGGCCCACATATTTGGCCATTTAGTAGGATTCAAGGTAAATTTAAATTTATTAAATCTAAATATTATTATATTTAAAATAATGTTTGAATTAATTAAGGTTAAACTTAATAATTCATTTAATGTGTTTGATATAAATTTATTTGAAATATATTTTTCGTGCCCTAAATCCGTTAAATCCAACCAGAGATGTGAAAATTGAATTTAACTTAACGACGAATTTATCTGACCTATTTAAATCTTTTAAAAGACATTATGAGAGACGGTGCGTGAAAATCAAAATATTTTATATTTTTTTTCATATATGGATCAAAATAGTCTTACTCTTTAAAGAATAATTATTATATTCTAATTAAATGAGTCTAATAATTAATTGGATAATTACATTCAGATCATTTGAAATATTACTATTTACAAAATAATCACAATTTTTTTAGCTACCAAGCGGTGATTAGGGTTGTTAACGAGTCGAGCTTTAGTAAGCTCAGGTTGGGCTCATGTTCCGCTGATTCAAATTTACTTATGTTTGAAATTGACTCGTGTTCGAAATTGTTTGTCAATAGAATGTTTTTATTCTATTTGATTTACATATTTTTGTTCGTGCTCGGCTCGTGTTCGACTCGAAATTGGTTCATTTAAATTAGTTAGTAATCTGCATCATTTATATGCACTATAAAAAGCAGAATCACATGAACACGCGAGTTATAGTGATCTAAACTAAGTATATATATATATATATATATATATTATAAATAATGTATCTAATTTTTTTATTTCGAGCTAAAGCGAGTCTAACACGATCAAACAAATGGTTGTTAGTGTTCTGCTCGTTTATAAATCGAGCTTAAAAAAATTGTTCGTATTTGGCTTGCTTATGTAAGGAATGATTCAAGCACGAGCTATTTAAAGAACTGAACACTAATTGTTCGCCAACATCGAGTCTTTTTTTTACAATTATAGCCATGATCAAACTATTGAGAATTTGATAAAAATGAAAATATGAGTTGGGTTCTTATCATGAATTTTGATATTTGAGTAAGAATTTGAAAAATGGACGAAAAAGAGAGATTGATTCGTAAATAACAAGTTTTGAGTGGTCTTTATCTAACTGCCCCAAAATTAATTTAATATTATTAGGTATATATATATATATATATATATGGATA